GTTGAAATGACTAGCCTTGTGAGGGGGAAAAACTGAATTTCCTACCTCACACTCCACACAGAAATAAACTCCAGATGGCTCAGAAATTTAATGTAAAAAATAAAATAAAACCATAAAAGTACTAGAAGGAATCTTGGGGTGGGGACAGCCTTTCTAAGTATGTCATGAAAACCAGAAACCATAAAAGAAAAAAAAGAGAAATTAAAAACTTCTGTATGCCCTGGCCGGTTTGGCTCAGCAGTTAGAGCGTTGGCCTGTGGTTCTGAGTGACCCGGGTTCGTTCCCGCTAAGGGCATGTACCTCAGTTGCAGTTTGACCCCGGCCCTGGTTGGGTCGTGTGGGTGGCAGCCGCTCGATGTGTCCCTTTTACAACAATGCTTCTCTCTTTCTCTCTCTCTTCCTCTCTCTCCCTCCCACTCTATCTGAACAAAAAAAAAAAAGGAAAAATATCCTCAGGTGAGGATAAAAAACCACCACCACCACCACCACCACCAACAACAAAACTTCTGTATTGAAAAACCCATCATAACTGTCATTATACAAATGTCAAATGTGGAAGAGTTATTTGTACCACATATGACAGCCAAAGGTTTAATCTTCCTAAAATTATAAAAAAGGGCTCCTTTCAAAGCAAGGAATAGGAAAATGGGCCAGCAAAGAAGGAAATAGACAATTCACAAATGAAGACTTGCTGAAGTCCATTAATATATGAAGGAGAAATTATTCCCACCTCTCCATCAGATACGCAAAAGTTAAAATGGATCTGCAGCCCAGCCGGTGTGGTTCAGTGGACTGAGCATCGGCCCATGAACTGAGAGGTCCCAGTTCAACTTCTGGTCAGGGTACATGCCTGGGTTACGAGCTCCATCCCCAGTCAGGAGCATGCAGGTGACAGCTGATGGATGATTCTTTCTCACATCAATGTTTCTATCTCTCTCTCTAAAAAACAATACAAACATATTTTAAAAATAAAAATAAAATGGATCTGCAAAACCTGGGTTACCTGGGGTGTGGGAAAATGGCTACTGTCATGCCCCAGGGGCCATAGGGGTGGGAGTATTAATTGCTGTGACCTTTCTGGGATGGTAAAATAAGTAACACAATGAACAATAAGGACTTACTTTGACCCAGCAATACTGACATTTAAAAACTAGTTTTATTATCTGATATATAAATGGTATACATGTATAGTATATAAAATACAATGCATATAAACATCTACCCACCAGCCAGCACCATTATCTATGCCTTCCATCTTCAGTTTTGGTACTCGAAATGATCTGTCCTGGCTTAGAATGAAAGGTCAATTTCTCTGCTTGTGCCCTTGATCCCATCTCTTGCTACCAATTCAGGGACATCCGGTTAACGTTTCTCCCTTTCTCCTGATTCATCAGTGATTTCCTCTTGGCTGGATCATTCTATAATTCTTCTCACCATAAAAAAGCTTTTTCCTGATCCCATCTTCCCTTCCAGCTACTCTGAAGAAACCCTGAAGATAATTATCTACACTCCTTGTCTCTGATTTTTCTTCTTTCTTTCTATCTCTTCAAGCACATTTCCACAGAAATGGCTCTTGCCAGTGCCGCCGGTGTTATCCATGTTGGTAAAATCCAATGACCAATTTTCAGTTCTCATTTTACTGAACATGTCAACAGCATTTGACATAAGAAATACTCCTGCTCTGGCCGGTTTGGCTCAGTGGTTAGAGCATCAGCCTGCAGTCCAGAGAGGCCCGGGTTTGGTTCCCGCTAAGGACATGTACCTCGGCTGCAGTTTGTCCCCGGCCCTGGTTGGTCGTGCGGGTGGCAACCACTCGATGTGTCTCTCTCATATTGATGTTTTTCTCTCTCTCTCTTCCTCCTTCTCTCCCTCCCCCTTTATCTGAAGATAAATGCAAAAAAAAAAAAAAATGTCCTCGGGTGAGGATAAAAAAAAAAATAGAAGTGCTCCTTCTGGAAACACTTTTCCTTTGGCTTCCAGGACACCTCATTCTTCTGCTTTCCCTCCTATCTCACCAAGAGCACCTCTTAAGTCTCCTTTGGCCCCTTCTTGTTGCCCACACCTCATACAACCTTTTAAATTTGGAGGGACCCAAGACCAAGTCCTTGGGACTTCTCTCTATGATACTGATTCCCATGGTGCTTTCTATCCATCTCCTGTCTTTAAACCCGATCTGAAGGCTGGTGACTCCTAAACTTACCCCTGAATTTCAGATTCCTATATCCCAAGGTCTATTCAATATCTCCACTTGCATACCAAGCCAAACTCCTTATCAGCTCTTCCAAACCCATTCCTCCTGCACCTGTCCCCACCAAAAATCTTGGCATGATCCTTGACTCTTCACTTTCTCTCATTCCTCATGCCCTATCTGTCAGGAAATTCTCCAGTACCATCTTCCCAAAAGATCCAGAAATCTCCCCACTGCTCTGAACATTTTTGTATACATCTCCTGACCATATGGGCAAGAAATTCTCTAGACAAATGGCTCTCAAGCTTTGGTGGGCATCAGAATTTCTGATTTGTTTAGGAATCATTTGCATTTCTAACAAGATCCCAGCTGATGCTGATGCTTCTCATGGAGAAATCACACTTGGATAGCCACAGCTCCAGGGGTATATGATGCCCAGGGGTAGGAAGACTGGATCATAGGATACGTGCATGTTCAAACTGATAATGGAACATTGATTTTCTTTCCTGTCAATAATGTGTGAGAATGTCCAGTGCTCCACGTCTTTGCCAACACTTGATGTTGTCAGACGTGTTACTGTTGTCACTGTAGTGAATACACAGTGTTAGCTTATTGCAGTTTTGAGTTGTATTACTAGAATTTATGCTTAGGTGGCAACTACATGGGATAGGTGAGAAACATAAGTACATTGCAATATTTTTTATGATATTAAAATCTGGTAACACACTGGACAGTGTGACTCAGTTGATTGGGCATTGTCCCGTGTACTGAAGGGCTGCCACTTCGATTCCTGGTCAGGGCACATGCCCGGGTTTTGGGCTCCATACCCGGTAGGAGGCATGCAGATCTATGTTCCACTCTCACATCGATGTTTCTCTTTCTCCCTCTCTTTCTAAAAAAAACAAACAAAAAAACAATACAAATATTTTTAAAAATCTGGTAACGGTCTAAGTTTTTATCAATGTGTATGTTCAAAATTTACAACAGGGTAATATGCAGCTGATCAAGATGATGATTGTAGGTCTCTAGTTAGGAACATGGGAAATGCCTATAATATATTGTTAAACAAGAGGGGAAAGCAGTTTACATAAGATGCATGACTTCATTTCTGTAAATTTGTTTGAAGGCATTGAGAAACACCTCCAACAATGTTAACACTTGCTATTTTTAGGAGATGGATTTTGAGTTACCATTATTTTCTTTTTTAAAAAATATTTTCTGTAATGTTTTATGTTTTAAATGCAAATATCTCTTTTTCTTAAAAGTAATTTAAAAAAATATATGCTTATATTTCATTTATATATGTTAGAAAGTATCTGGAAGGTTTCATATGACACTGGTTTGAGCAGCTGCTGCTAGGCAGTGGGTTTGTGTGGGTTGAGTGGGAAGGTACTTTGAGTTTTCTCTTTATTCCATTCTGTACTCTTTGAATTTTTATGACAGTATTAGTTTCGTAATAAAAAACACACACACACACTAATGAAAACAAAAAAGAGAAGAGAACTATTCTTAACACCCAAGCCAGTCCTGTCAACCCCTGCCAGCCCCTGCTGCTTTTGGCCCAGCCCAACCCACCAAGCCATGCTGAGGCCCCTGCTGACTTCACAAGCAGCCCACTCAAGTAATGCCAGACCTCCTCTGGCTGAGGAGCTTTGGAGCTGTGGATCCAGGGCCAGTAATTGGGCTGCCCAGAAGGGAGCTCCTCCTGCTTCTGGGTGATGCCTTGAGCCAGGAGTAATATGTCACCCCCACAAAGCCTGTGGCTGTGGGCTCCCCCACTCTCTGTGCTGGAAGAAGAGGCCAGCCCCCTAGAAGGTCCAGAGAGAAGCCACTAACCCAGCCAAGAAGCTAACTGACTGTCAGAGGTGGCAAACTCCAATAATGAACCTGTGTCTCCAACAAAGCACTTTTAAGTCCGTAAAGGTTAGAGCTAAGAAGAAATGTCAGCAAAACCAGAAAACGTAGAGATGGTGAAAGTGCACTCTTCTACAACAAACTTGTATGGCAGAATCTGGGGTCACCCCGAATTGAGAAAGAATTAATTTCATCTAACAGAGACTTCACACAGCAGGGATTGGATGCACATGGAACTGTCCACAGTTGTGCTTTCCTCGAAGGTCAGCTTTCTCCTAACTGCAATCCCACTGAACTATCAACCATGCCACGCTAACATATGTGCTCCCTTCACTGAGCACATCATGTGGTCCTCTGTCTCCCCCACAACTCATGACCTCTAGAAGACAGAAACCACTTTCCATTCCTCCCCTGCTTCTTTGTAACAAGCATGGGTCCTTTACACACTGAGCACTCAGTAAATGCTGGAGCAATGAAACGGTATCATCTCCAGTATAGAAAGAAAATGGAGATAACATTTTGCAAATGCTCAGATTTCAAAACTCAAGGTAGAGGGTGACAAATGGGTGTCTCCTGGCATCACTGTGCAATCTGCAGTGGCCCAGCATGTCCATCAAGCAGGTGGCACACAGGGCTCGGCTCACACTGCTGGATTCTAGGCCAAGGCAACCTTCGTGGACAAGTGGGTTCCTCCACACGGAGTAACTTGGAGGTGACAATCTCTTAAATATATACTTTCTCTTTAATAAAACAGCCGCACAAAACAAAAACAGAAACCCAGTGGTGGGACTTCATAGCACACCTGCCCCATCACACTGTGGATTGCAGGAGAACCAGCCTTTAGCTGTCCTTGCATGATTACTGCATTTGGCCACTCTTAATGATTTTTTTTTAGAATAATATTTATTCACAAGTAGTAGAGGCCCAGTAAATATGTGGTAGTTTATTTATTTTTTCAATTTGTTTCCTCTGACAGGATATAAGACACCCAGTTTGTTTGAGTTTTAAAAGAATATTTCCTTTGCCCCATTTGAATGACCAATAATGACATAAGTCCAATTTGCAAAGTGAAAAGGGTGTAACGTGGGGTGTTTTAAAAACAGGTTAAACTGTGCTTTTTAAATTTACATTTTAAAACTAAAAATGATCAAAATATCAAAATTATATAAAATTGTTCAGAAGGTGATCCCTGAACCCCAGACCCTGTCCCTCTCCTTGTGGTACAGGACAGAGGGAAATGACACTTGAAGGCAGGCTTAAGGAACCCATGTATATGTTCCAAGTGACTGTCTTGTGCGAAACCCAGGTTCCAGGAGGCTCTGCCTAGGGGAGACAAAAGTGCCCAAGAGTCTTAACAAGTCACTGGGTCCTGAGGGAAGAACTAGTGTCAGAGGGAAGAGGAGCCTCTGCGATGGGGTGAGAGCCAGTGGGGAGAGGGAGAGGGACATTGGGGGAAAATTGAAAGAGATGGTCCTGCGAAGAGTAGACTGGAGGGGAGCCTGGATATGGCAGAGACTATACCATTTAGAGATTTCCATGCTTCCTTGAATTTCAGGTCTAAAGGAAGGAGAAGGCAGAGGTGGAAGGTGAAATCATGTTGTCCTGGGGTGGCTGAGAGCTCCTTCAGGTCACAGGTCTTGGCCCCTGGCTGTGGCCACAGGGAACAACGAATTGCGCTGTTAATGACGGCAAAAAAGAGGGAACGAGGGAGAGGAGAAAGGAAGGAGGAAATCTGCTGTCAGTGAAGTGTCGCAATTGAATCAAGGATTTTTGTAGCTTATTTCTACATGTAAAAGTTGGGCTCAAAGTATTTTTCAAGACTAATGTCTTTATTCCTTTATTATATTTCCCCAGGGAAAAGGCTGGGGGTGGGTGGGTGAGAGGGTCAGTATGTGCTTTAAATAGAGATAAGAATATCAAATGCCATAAACCAATCATAAAGGGGGGGGCTCCTGCTCCATGAGCTTGGGAAGGAGGGGAAGAAATCAGGAAAATGGCATGGGTGGGGCCCTGCCCTATGAAGTCAAGACTCCACATCAAGCTAAATAAATGTGGAGTCACATTTGTCCGTCTTGTATTAGCTCATCTTGTGGCCACTTTGATGTAGGTTTCTTGTACCAACAGAAATGTTCCTATGTGGCTGGGATACACTTTCATCTCCCTTTTCCCTGGCCTCCATTTCCAGCTTTGGCAAGGGAGGCCCCCACTAGCCCTTTCCCCCCTCGGTCTGAAGGGGTTAAAATGTTTGGCCTATCCATAGAGAGAAAGATGCCTGATGTGCATTAGAACAAGGAATGAGAACGAGAGGAGGGGGGAGCCTGCTTACTTCAGTTACTTGCACAAATGTTTTATTCAGGAATTAGAGAAGCCAGGGGGAATAAGTGAGGAAGTGGATGGAATAGGATAATGAGACTGAGGACCTGTGTGACAACCAAGTAGAAAAGATGAGCTGATACCAAAATACAGGGGTCTGGGACTTAGAGGGACTTTCCAGGGCAGAGGCCAAGTATGTCGGGACAGAAGCAGCTTTTGACGGCCCCTGAAGGCCACAGAGGGGATGGCCTCACCTAGGCCGTATGGTAATGGTTCGTGTAGATAGAATGATAAGGGGAGTCAGGGAGAAGCCCTGCCCAGCTCCATGAGGAAAGAGCTTGCAAAGAAGGGTTCAGAGATCAGGCAATAGCAGTTACATTTGTCAAGATTCATCCAGTTGTGAGGAGTAGAAACCTACTAAGCCAGCCTGAGCAGGAAGGGAATAAGCATGGCAGAGGGGGAATGGGATACCCAGTGGGTATGACCTGCTTGCTCCCAAAATGGCATCAGGAGCCCTTTTCAAACAATTTGTTCCCACTAAGAGCCAGGTACTTTTCTAACCCTTGGCTGAGAACTTGAGGCATTAAATGCTCTTACAGTCTAAAGACAGCCAGCCACAGTTGTGGTCAGAGGCCTTCCACCAGGATGTACAAAAGGTGGCAATACAGGCCTCAAAGCCCTATGAGGTAAATCCTATGATTATTCCCATTTTACAGATGAGGAGACTGAAACCCACAGTTACACAGCTAGCAAGTAGTGAATTTGAGCCTGGCTGTCTTGCTCCAGAGCCTGGACTCCTAACTTCCATGTCTATTGTCTCACTGGATTCAGACTGCTGAATTAGCCAGTTACATACAGAGTCAGGAACCAGGGAGTGCTTGTGGGAGCCGTGCTAGTCATACTGATAGTGAGACTAATATTTATTGCAGGGTTACTATGTGCCAGGCACAGTGTTTAGTGCTTCAGTTAGTGAGTATCCTGGGAAAATCCCCGTAGGGGCTTGGCCCTCCTTTTTTTTTGGTCAAAATTAAATTATTGGCATCCTGAAGACTTTAAATATGAGAGGCTGATGCAACTGCTGTTTATGCCAGAGTTTAAACATCTGTGCAAGATGCCACATTTGAAAAACGAGCGTGATTGGTTTTTATCAGGATACTGTATTTCTAAACAGATAAGGGGGTGACTTGCATTTGGGCAGCCTGACCTGAATATCTGACTGCTTATGAAGAGATCGAGGACTACACCGCACCAGCCCCTCCAGGAAATGCCCCATGTCTGTCTGTCTTTGCTGCGGGGACAGGGGGAGATAGTGGCTCAGTTCCAGCTGAGCCCCGTGGCAGAAGTGTTACTTCTTCTGGGAATGAGCAAGCAGAGCTGATCCCCTGGACCTTAGAGTGCCCAAGGAAATCCACTCTCATTCACCACGTGGTCAACACATTCAGGGCCCTACTTGGAAGCTAGAAAAGCAGTGACCCTTTCCTTCCCTATAGGCCAGAATGCTACAGTGGTCAAGGTGAGGACATTGAAGCTCAGAGATATGAGGTAATTTACCCAAGGTGACACAGCTGAGGAGAGGCTGAACTGGAGCCTTTTAGGAAAGTAACTTGCCCCAGGAGACACAACTACCTGGCTCTGAAAGCCCTAGAGGGCACGAGAGGCTGGGATAACTTTTGAAACATACACATGCCCAGGCTCCTCCCACAGAACTCCTAATTCTCAATTTAAAAATTAAGTCTAGCCCTGGCCGGTTTGGCTCAGCGGTTAGAGCATCGGCCTGCATTCCAGAGAGACCCAGGTTCGGTTCCTGCTAAGGGCACGTACCTCGGTTGCAGTTTGTCCCCGGCCCTGGTTGGTCGTGTGGGTGGCAGCCACTCGATGTGTCCCTTTCACGTCGATATTTCTCTCTCTCCCTCTCTTCCTCTCTCTCCCTCCCACTCTATCTGAACAAAAAATAGAAAAATGTCCTTGGGTGAGGATAAAAAAAAAAATTAAGTCTAATAGTTCATATTGTTTACAATTGTTCCTGGAGACTCAGGTATACTGCAACGACTGAGGACTGTGACTCCCAACAGAGGTGTGGATTTTCAGGGGAGCAATGCAGGGGTGGAGCCCAAGCAGTTGTGAGGCCAAGAACCTTCCTCAACTCAGATTCTCAGCCTTGAGTCCTGTGGCATGAAGGCATCAAAGGTACCAAGGATATAAAGGTAATTGAAGGATGTGCATACTGATTTAAAATGCATTTAATTAGAAATTTTGACTGTTGGTGTGCTACTGTTTTCAAATTGAATTTCACCATTTCCATTAATACCATTGGCCTTGCAAGACTTGGTTGCAATTGTACCCATGTACTAATACCTTGGTTCTGATATAAGATCCTTTGCCTATGGTCACTTGGTTAATATTTTGTTGGTTTTTTTGTTTTGCTTTGTTTTTGTTTCTTTTTGTGTTTATGCTAATTAGTGGAATTGGTCTGTCATTTTTCTTTTCCATTCTGTTCCTATTAGGGAGCCTTCCTTCTTTTCCTAGTCTCTACAGAGTATTCTTTTTGTATGACTGGAAACTTTTCCTTGAATTGTTGGTGGAATTCACTACAGAAACCACCGGGCCTGGGAGTTTTGTTTGGGGAGAGGTGTATCAGTCAGAGTTCAACCAGAAAAACAGAATCAGTAGGAGATACATACAGAGGTTTACTGCCAGGAATTGGCTACATGATGGTAGGGGCTGGCTAGGAAGTACGAAATCTGTAGCACTGGCTGTGAGGAAGAGTAGGCTTAAACCCTCTGGCAGGAGCGGAAGCTGCTGTCCACAGGAGGAACTTCTTCATCAAGAAAGCCTCAACTCTGCTCTTAAATCCTTTCATAGAATTGAATTGGAGCCACCTAGATTATCCAGGATAATCTCCCTTAAAGTCAACTGATTATGAGCTTTTTTTCTCCTTTATTGATTTTTTTAGAGAAAGAAAGGGAGAGGGAGAGAGATAGAAACATCGATGAGAGAGGACATCGATTGGTTGCCTCCTGCATACTCCCACTGGGGGTTTGGCCCACAAATTGGGCATGTGCCCTGATCAGGAATCAAACCAGCGACCTCTCGGTGCATGGGGTCAATGCTCAACCACTGAGCCACACTGGCCAGGCGGATTATGGGCTTTAATCACATCTATAAAATACCTTCACAGCAACACCTAGAAGAGTGTTTGATGGAGTAACTGGGGACTATTGCCTAGTCAAGTTGCCATATAAAATTGACCATCATATGGTTGGGGGGAGTTTTAATTGCTGATTAAATTTTTAAAGGATTCTTGTCAAAGAATAAATTTTGGTTTTGTCAATTGTCTTTATTGTATTTTTTCTTTTTCATTAATTTCTGTTCTAACCTTCATTAATTCATCTTTTTCTTCAGGTTAATTGCTCCTCTTTTTATACTTAATTAATTAATTTATTTTTGTTACAGATGTTTCTCCTTTTACCCCACTGATTCCCCCACGCCCCTCCCTCCCCGTCCTGTCCCCAGCTTTGTTGTCCATGTCCACTGTTCATGCATACATGCATATAAGTTCTGTGGTTTATCTCTCCCCCACACTCCCTCTTCTGGGGATTGTCAGTCTGTACCCCACTTCCATGTCTCTGGGACTACCCCGTTCCTCAGACTGTTATGTTCATTATATTCCATATATAAATGAGATCATGTGGTATTTGTCTTTCTCTGCTTGGCTTGTTTTCCTTAGGATAATACTTTCCAGGTCTCTCCATGTTGTCTCAAAGGATA